TGGCTTTGAAACATTTTGGCTGGGGATGCTGGGAAGATCACTTCAGCTCTTAGTGCTCTGGACACTAAACCTTCAAGCTGAAGAGAAGGTACCTATATGCACCGATAGAGACAGTTTCTTCATCTGAGAGTCACTTACATCAGTGACATCAGAGGGTCAATACTTATCCTTATCTCTAGCCATCAGGTATAATGTTAGGTACTGGGGACACAGTGGCAAAAACAAAATAATCCCTACCTTCAAGGAGCTTACATTTTAACTCAGCAGACCACAGTGCTATCTCATTGTCCTTTGAGAGTCTCACCAGGCACAATTTGGAATCGGGCCAAATGGTAAAGGCAGAAAGGACACTGGAGTGTGTTCTCATATCTCCCACAAGTGTTAGAAGTGGCATGTGGAGAACAGAACAAAAGGGCATCTCATAAAGTTATTTTAATAGCATCCCTATCTTTGCCAATTAGAATTATTCCACAAACAAAGACAGCCCTCCCAGAGGGAGGACAAGGGAATCAATAGGGAGTGGAGAAGCAAGGTAAACATATTTTCACATGGTTTCCATGTTCCACAGCTGGAATATCTTTTCAAACCTGTAATTGTATCCTTGTGCTTTAAACTAATGCTTGAAAATGACATGTGCAAGGTCCAAACACTTAGGAGATATTCAAATAAGACTGTCTCCCTCTCATCTGTGAGGGACACAGCTTCCCCTCTCCTTCTCCACTATTGTCACACCATGTATGCGTACCTGGCCTTTCAGACCCGATCATCATCACTTCTACCCATGGATACTTCCCCTACCATATTAGTGCCGCTTCTTCTGGTAAAAGGCCCTGACCCACTGCAGAAGTCTGAAGTCTTCCTATGCAGGGTAGGGGCAGGAAATTACAGAGAGAACTTCTCTCCCTATTTTCATTGACTGAGACATATGTCAAAGCTGTCATGAACAACTCTGGCTCCTGGGCTGAGCAGAAGGAAAGGGGCCTTGTAACAACTTTTTCAAACATTTAAAAGTTGAAATTCACCAGAGGAGGGGAAGCTTGCTGACAAAATCAGACACGTGGCTTCGTAGGAGAGATATTCCAAGATAACATGAGGCCACAAATGGGGAAGCTGCTGCCAGCTAGGAAGCCAGGGTAGGACCAGGTGTGGAAGGAGACTTGTCTTTCAGTTTCTTCCTTAGGTGTCCAGCACCCAGCACATAATAAGTGCTCAGTAAATTTCAGTTGACTGAGTTGGGGCACAGTCAGAGTGGAATCAAAGCATGTCATCTAGTACTTTCTGCTGTTTTTGAACCAGATCTCTGATTTATTAACTGACTGATGGATAGGGGACTCTCTCTACCTTTATAGTTTGACACTTTCTCTGTGACTCAGAATCGTACAGAGTAGCATAGAGTATTGCAGGGTTATGTATCTTCCTTACACAGCTAGCATGTGTCAGAGGATTGCAGCTAAGTAGTACAGTGGATAAAGCACTGGCCCTGGAGTCAGGAGGATCTGAGTTCAAATCCAGCCTCAGACACTACTAGCTGTGTGACCCTGGGGAAGACACTTATCCCTGTTTGCCTCAGTTTCCTCATCTATAAAATGAGAAGGAGATCGTTAACCACTATGATGTCTTTGCCAAGAAACACCAAATTGGGGTCATGAAGAGTAGGACATGACTGAAACAAATAAACAAAAAGTGTGGGTGGGATTTGAACCCAGGTCTTCCTGATTCTGTTGCTGGCTCTATCTCTTATTCCATGTCATCCCTCTCTGGTCATTTCTTACTTTAACTAGTTACTCTTGTGAGTCACATGCTAATCTCAGTTATTTCTGAGGGCAGAAGCAATTTAAGTGTTATCAGAGCCCTAGGGCAAAGACCCAAAGGCCCTGCCCTAGTTCCATCTCTGCCATTTCTATAGCACTCATAGCTGGCTAGGAAGAAATTTGGCTGAGAACTGGAAGTTGTATCGAGTTTTCAGTCTAACTCCAAACCACTCTGGCTAAAACATACCACAGCCACAGCTGATGACCTCCTGGCACTTACAACAGCTATCCGGGAATATTATTAAAGCACTAGCCCAGGAGGCAAAAGACATGGGATTCATTAGAGTCTGGAATACTTGAAAAAGTCCTGGATTTTGAGTGGGAGAAGCTGTTGGAATCTCAGATTTGCTATGTCCTATGGGTGTGACCTCGGGTAAATCACTTCCTTTCTTGGGCCTCGTTTTCCTAACCTATTAAATAAGATGGTTGGAATAGAGCAGATGTGGTAACCTGAGAGGAACTGTGCTGCAACGGATAGAGACTTGGCCTCAAAATCAGGAAGGTTTGAGTTCAAATCCTTCCTTTGACCCTTGTGAGCCATGTGACCCTGAGCAAGTCTCTCAGCCTCTCTGGGCCTCAGTTTCTTCATCTGTAAAATGCAGAGGTTGAAGTAGCTAGCACCTGAAATTCTTTGCTGGTCTAGGTCTATGATCCAACCATCTTAGAACCATCTTATGCATTTGGTAAGATAGCTGTATCTGGTTTGGGACACTACCAACAAGCTTTTACTGTTGCCCCTGCCTCTGATTTAACTTAAAAATTCAACATGAATTCAGCACCTACTACAGGCAGTGTACTATGCCAGGCATTGAGAAAAGAAGGACAAAACCCAGCAGTTCCTGCTCCCAGTGGCATCCTACTGGAGTAGAAATGGCATAGAGAAAGGCCTCATGTGGAAGGGGGTATCTGTGAAAGAAGGAGGGAATCTATTAAAGAAAAGGGGGGATGGGTAGTCAGGTCTAGCAACAGGAGGGACAGTTTCGTAGATCTGGATTCACTTCTACCAACTCTTATGACCCTCTTCTGTGGACCATTCAAAGGGGATCCTGAGGGACAGGATCACCCCCTATGGAGGGGAATGCTGTATTGGGGAGTAGGGTTTTGGAAATGGGGGGCAGCCCTGTGGTAGTTTGGTATCTGCTGATCTGCCTGGTACCAGTTCCAGAACAAGATGTCTCTCCCAGGATAAGTTTATCACCTCTAATCTCACCAGCATGCTGCCAACTCAGGCCTTGACTGACACCATGTCCCTTAGCCTCCTTTCTCCTCTGATTGGTGAGGTGATGGTTGGACTCCTCCAGTGCCTTTCTTTATAGAAGGCAGCAACCAGACTCTAATTCTTTCTACTCTGAATCTAGTGCCTTGCCTTGTTCCAACTCCATGGAATAAGTCAGGTACCCCTGAAGTCCCCCCACCCCCACGTGGCTGCTTCCTTTTTCACATTGTCTTCCTCCCATTAGATTGGATGATCCTTGAGAGCATCTCAGAGATCAGGACTCCAAGGCTGGATATCCAAGCTCTGGTGGAAAGCCAGTGTATAGGTGGCAGAAATTGAACACAGCCCACATTTCTACAGCCCTTTAATGTTTAGAAAGCACTCTTCTTTAGCCTTGTGAGAAAGGTAGGGCAAGTATTTTTTTTTTCATCTGATATGGGAGGAGACTGAGACCCAGAGAGATTCTGTGACCTGCCTGCATCCTAGTAAGCAATTAAGTTTTAACATGATATAGTGGGGAGAGAGTGAAATTGAAAGCTGTACGACTAAGGCTTAGAACCAGCAAAGCCATTTGTTCAAAACCTGTGGGATTTGAACAAATCACTTCATCTCCTCATCTGAAAAGTGAGAGGACTCTGCTAGATCCTTGCCCAGGTCCCAGGCTCCTATGACTCAGTGCTCTCTCTTCACTGTGACCTGCTGCCTGTCTGTCAGAAGCCCTCCACTCTTTGCAAATAGCTTGAGATACACTAAAGCAGGGATTCTTAACCTGGAGCTTATGAACTTTTGTATTTTAAAAAATATAACTGTATTTCAATATAATTTCTTTTGTAATTCTATGTATTTTATTTTATTCATTTAAAACCTGATTCTAAGAAAAGGTCCATAAGCTTTACCACCAGACTGCCCAAGGAGACCATGTCACTAAAAAGCTCCAGACCTCTGATTTTGGAGTCATGTGATCTTTTACTCTTTTTACTCCTAAATCCCCACTCCCAGAGCTCTAGCAGCCATTCATGAGAGCATAAAATCAGACTGTGAATGTCTCAACAAAGGCAGAAACCCAAATCAGCAGAGGGTTTCCACAAGGCAATAACATGCTTAACAAATCTAGGCAGTCTATATCTGTGAGCTACCAATAACACACACAGATGATGGTCCCACTAGCTTAAAAGCTAAAAGACTCCATTAGAATTTGCTCCTTGGGGATTTCTGGTTGGGTGTAGACCTCAAAATTCTGCTATTTGTAATGAGTTGATTTTTGGCAGAAGACGAAATACAATTCTTGTGGCAAAATTACTATCTCTGCATACTGCTCCATCACCCAGATTGCAATCTCTCATGATAACTTACAGAACAGCTTCGTGTGTGTGTGTGTGTGTGTGTGTGTGTGTATGTGTGTGTGTGAGAGAGAGAGAGAGAGAGAGAGAGAGAGAGAGAGAGAGAGAGAGAGAGAGAGAAAGAGACAAAGAAAGAATAATTTTTTCCACCAGCCACTAAGGAAGTGATGTGCTGTGCTGTGTAATGGAGGGCAGGACTTATCTCCAAGTATTTCAAACAAAGACAAATGAAACACAATTGATAAATTAGCTTGTTGACATTTAATAAGCCTATACATGAGCATGATTCAGCTTGGAAATATAATTAAATGCTTAAAATAAATGAGGGCCGGCACGCTGTGCCAAAGTCGGCTGAGCCTACAAAAAGTGACTATCTCTGTCTGCCAATGCTGTCTATGGACCAGATGGAAAACATGAAGTGGTTTGCACTTTATTTTTAAATTACTGTAATTTTCCTAATAAAAAGGTTATGCTTTATTTTCATAAAGCCAGATAGGCTGTCTCCAATAATAAGGCCTAGGAAAATTGTCCTGATGGCCCTCTCCCTCCCTCCCTTTCTTTCCGTCGGGCACTTCCTCGACCCAGTTGACTAAGGTCATGAAGTCCAGCTTAGAAATCAGAGCACAAGCTTACCTCTTGGGCGCACCATCCGCACTCTGGGCCCAGCACCAGGCACTTGCTACACGTTGCTGCATTCGAGCTGGTACATCTGTTCTCTTCTGTAATGGAGGACAAAATAGTTGATTATTAATGAGCTCTCCTCCCTGGAATGTTCCTTACCATTTGACACCCGACAACTGACTTGAGAGAAAAATCAGCCTGGCCAATTACAAGACTTTGCAAGACAAACACAGTTTTACTGGAGAAGTCTGAGTTCATTGATTTAGAGGTAGAAGAGATTCTAGGGGTCATCTAGTTCCTTCCTCTCCCCATACACACACACACACACACACACACACACACACACACACACACACATTTTACAGATAGGGAAACTGAGGCCAAGAAAGGTTAAATGATTTTAATCAATCAACCATTCAATTCAAAAGCATTTATTATATACTAGTCATATCAAGCACCATGCTAAATACTTGGGGTATAAAGACAGGAAAAAACATTCTCTGCCATTAAGGAGTTTACATTTTAACGGAGGGGACAGACAATATCTGTCAGCTACCATGAACCAAGTACATGCAAATACATAGAAGAGAGGAAAGGTAGCCTTGGAGAGTCATATAGGTAGGAAACAAAACAGACAGAATTTGTATCCAGGATTTAGATTCCAAAGAAAATTCATTTTCCATATCCCACAATGTCTCTCTTTTTTATCTCACATACTTTAGTCCATAAATATAACATTTGCCCAAGATTTTTAATGCTTGATTTTGTGTATGGGAAGGGTGGGAAACATTGACTTTAATTTATATTTGATAGTTCTGGATAGATCCTTCTTCAAGGAACCCAAGAGGAAGGGAATCCCTGCTTGATATTCATATATGGAAATACATTAAGCATTTGCGATTGCCTTGAGTGTGGGAATTCTCTTTTCCAGCAAAGATGTCAGCTGTTTATACCTCATAGAGAAGTGTTAGAGAGTTGCTAGAGGTTCACACACTTGCTCAGGCTTGCATAACTGGCAAGTGCCAGAGGTGGAAAGTGAACCTACATCTTTCTGACTATAAGACTAACTCCCTATCCACTATGCCACATTGCTCTCTGGAATGTGACCCAAATTCAATGAGTCCCAAGATGAACATTGAATAATAGAGATTTCTGGACTCAGGAGACCACTAAGTCCAACTCTTGACTATAGAACTTTCTAGAGAAGTCATATGGACAAGTGTCTTGACCTTACTGCCTCAGTTTCCCAATTTGTAAAGTAAGATACCTAATCCCTAGAGTACCTGCAGTAAACTTCACAGGGTGAAGAAACAAATGAAATGATGTTTTCAATGTCCTCTGTGAATCAATCTTTCAATTCTCTTATGTCAACAATCATGATTCTTTCCATACCAAGATTGTGTTACTATGGTATCTAGAATGATAGGTCTCACCTGGTCTGGACCTCTACCTAAAATCAGGGGATGGATTTGATTCTCATAAATCACATTCCTGGGTCATGATCCAGGCATGTATATTCTGGATCAAGAATTCATAGAGAGCTGTCATGGCCACGATAATACTTCACCATGAAGGCTTTGGCTTATTAGAAGACATTTCCTCTCTCTTGGCTTCAGCTTGCTCATCTAGAAAATGAGGAGTTTTACATAGATGACCTCTGGTTCCTTCCAGCTTGCAATCCTTGTGATCCTACAAATGCTATCTTTGACATTTACAATCCGGGTGCCCTTGGGCAAGTCATTGAACTTTTCTGGCCTTCAGTTTCATCATCTATAAAAGAAGGGGTGGTTGGACAAGGCAACCTGTCTTACTGATGCTTAAATCTAGGGGCCCATCAATGCCACCTTGGACAGCTCCTACCTGAAGGACTTTGCACAATTCATTTATTTCTCTAGGCCTCAGTCTCCTCAACTCTAAAATTAAGAGATTGGAGTAGCTGAGCTCTAAGGTCTCTTCCAGTTCTGGATCTATGATCTTTTGGTTCTTTGCGGGAAAAAAAGGGACAAAAAGGACTAGCCAACAAGCCATGACTCAGATGAGGTTCTGTTCTGAGCTTCATCTCCTGGCCTTTTCCACCTGGCTCACCTTAAGTGAATGTCCAGCTGGATTTTCCATAGACTTCCACCCTTGGCTATGATATTTAATAATAACATTTTCCTCTGGAAACTATTTTTCTGTCCCCCCCAAACTGGACCCCCACTCCACCCCAGATACTACTGTTTAAGGTTAGGAATGACTCAGGAAATGACCATTGATTACTTTCTCCAGTTTGCCATCAGGCTACAGTACCCTAGGGCTAATTATAAAGCCCATTGGCACCCCTGGGCATAGACATCATGTTTTGGCCAATGACTGCCATCACCTGAGCCCAGCATCAGTCACTCACCAGGCACATCTCCTTGTCAGCCATGCTTAGGAGGCACTGATGTCACCCTGACTGAAAGATAACTCAGTCCTCCCCTCATAATCTCCTGGCTTTGCTCATTCTATAGCTATCTTACTCACTTTGAAGCCTGGTATTTAAAAATAGATTTCAGAATTTGGGCAGGCAGAGGCATACCAGTGGATGCTGGGTGAGGAAAAAGACAGGAAAGGTGACTCCTTTCACTCTTTTCCTCTCTGGCTGGCCCTGATGCTTCTGCTCCCTGCTCCCAGTCCCATTTCAGCCATTTGGAGGCACTCAAGGCTAAACTGTCCCCTGAGGGCTCAAGGGACAAATAAAATCTAGGGATAGGGAGGGGGAAAGCTAGAGAACTGAAGGGTAGCTTAGCTAAATGGGGAGGGTGGGAAGTCAAGAGGCCCATGGCACTGTCTTATGGGAGGTGATGGGGAGGGACACACACCCTCATTCTTTTTATCCTCACTCCTGTCCCCATCACATTAAGAAACAAGCATTGTCTCCTGATATTCTCCCATCACCTTCCTCCTTATGTGCTCTTTCACCTAATTTCATATAGCTTCACACTGACCTTTCTGGTCCTGAGCTATTCAATGAAGTGGCTGCCATGAGCCAGGCACTGTGCTAGCCCTAGGACATAAGTGCTTATAGGAAAACCACTGCTTGGTTGACAAGTTGGCTATTTTTGTTGAACTACCTTTTCTTTTTCTTCTTTTTCTTTCTTTCTTTCTTTCTTTCTTTCTTTCTTTCTTTCTTTCTTTCTTTCTTTCTTTCTTTCTTCTTTCTTTCTTCTTTCTTTCTCTCTCTCTCTCTCTCTCTCTCTCTCTCTCTCTCTCTCTCTCTCTCTCTCTGTCTCTATCTTCTTTCCTTCCTTTCTTTTTTTCTTTCTCTTACTTATTTGCCATAAAGGATGATTATCTGGGTGAGGGATAGGGGAAGGAGATATTGGGGAATAAAGGTGATATAAAACAAATTAGCATTTTTAAAAGGCACTTCTCAATACTTTATACTTTCTTGGTCATCAGCTGGGCTTTCCTCCAATGAAACTGAACCTTTAAAGATAAACATATCCCAGAGAACTTGGGTGTATGTTTTGGAACAGGCAAAACCTAGACTTCTGCATTTTTTCTGAACTGACATTATCACAGACTTGTAGCTAGAAGGGTCCTGACAGGCCTGAGGGTATCTATTTAGAGCTTGGACCTATGTTAGAGGCTTGGATAGTCCAAGCTGTCTCCCCATTTTGCAGATGAAGGAATTGAGACTCAAATAGTTAGGTGATTTGCCTAGGGCCACACAACTCTTAAGTATCTAATGTGGGCTTTGAATCTAGGTTCTCCTAATACCAAGTCCAGCATTCTATCCAATAGGCCATGTTGCTGCCTGGATTCTTATTTTTCTTCTTTTCTAGTTGAGAATGCTGAAATCTAGAGAAGGTCAATAATTTATCCAAGGTCTCACAGACTATTAATAAATGACAAAGCCAGGATTCAAACCCGGGCCCTCTGATGCTGAGTCCAGTGCTGTCTACACCTTGAGGTATCCTACGCCTTCAGGGCCAATAAAACTGACAAAAAAACTAGAATCCAAGGTGTTTATGCATTTAACTGTGCCTTTGCTGAAATTCAACCTGGACCACAATTGCAGAAACCTGGAACTGGGCTGTGCCTATTTTTAGCCCTGATTTCATCCAGTCAGGGAAGCCTTTTGTGAAACAAATTAAACTGGCACAGTACTGGGGTACAGGAATGAGGAGGGGGCAGGGATGTGTTTCTCAAGTTAGTTGGATTCTGACCTTGATTAACTCTCATTCAACCTAAGGGCAGGAACTGATCAACTTGCAAAGGAAGGAACTCAATTTACTTCTGCTTCTATCATCCCTGCCCTGCATCCTTGGCATTTGGGGGGCCAGCCTCCATTTTGTAAATTCAATGACCCATCCAGGCCTGATGGGTGACAGCTTGGGAGGTCACTTTGGCCCTGCCAGGGGTCAGGGCTGACATGTCTCTGAAGCCTCCCAGACACAGGAGTTTGGCCTCAGATGGATTTGGAAGAGGAGGGGTGTCTTGTGTTTCCTCAGAACTCAGTGTAGACTCCAGCTCTGGCCTCTATGGGAGCCATGTCAAAGCCTGCTGCTGGAGAGTGTCATGGTCAGATTCTCAGAAGACAAGCCAGATAAACTTTGGCAAAGATAAATTTCAGGCTTTCATTTTTCATACTGAAATGAGGCCTACGCAAAGGGCTGGATAAAGGAAGTTTGTCATTTTGGAGGCCCTGAAATCTATAAGGGGCACACTCCAATGTAGCCCGCAGGAGACTGAGGATTCCTTCTCTGTGCCCTGAGAATTCTGGCTGGCTAAGCTGTCCTGAGCACCAATCAGCTCAGCCAGGTCTGGTTCTGAATAAGTCTGAGGCAGCCCTGGTCTCAGCTGAAGCTGACAGAGGGCTCACCCAGCCAGGAACAGGCTAGGATTAGACAAATGTGGGAAGTCACGTGGATTCACTTGTAGAATGGTAGGACAGGCAGTGTGGGATTGTACATGGAGGGCTGGACTTGCAGTCAGGAATCTTGTCTCAGATGTTTATTTGCTATATGACCATGGGAAAGTCACTTAACTTTTCTGATTTTCAATTCCCTTATCTGCGAAAAAGCAGGCATAAAAGTACCTCTAGGACCTGCTTCATAGGATTCAAATGTGA